TTTTTTTTTTTTTTTTTTTTTTTTTTTTTCTAAACTAAGAATATTTGCCAACCAAATGCACCATAATATTTCGTTGCAACATTTTTTCGATATAGGGGGTAAATTCCTATAATTTATGTCATTTGTCAACTCAATTTTCCACCTTAAAATCAAACACAATTGCTGGTTGACAGATCGCCAATGTGGTAAAAAATAATGAATACCGTAACATGATTAGTTGCTACAGCTGATAAATAATGTTCGTGAACTATTCGAGCTTGCTTGAGTAGTTTCAATGATCTCCAACATGCTCCATAGCTTTAACAAGCTGGCTTAAGGATCCCCTTCAAGACCAGCAGAATTTCCTGAGAATCGCCAATAATATTAGCGACTATAATCAATTAAACACATGCAACTTTATGGGTCAAAAAAGTTTATCACATAGTTCAAGAACAAATGTGTCTACTCATTCAAGTCTTCACCCGAGGCAGTGACTTCTTAATGGACTATTACTCTTACAAGGGGCGATAATCTGATGGGTTATTCATCTGCTATTATGTTGCAGACTTGCAGTTAGCATGCTACAGAAATTTTGAAGTTCATAAAGCTTTACTTGTTTCTCTGGAGGTATAGCAATAATATCTGAAACTTCCGGAGATGACCATATTAAGCCAGAGAATCATACTTATCTACGAATATGCAAGCAGGTCCAATGTCAATTTGCCAATTCTTTGGACATGGTTCTTGAATTTCTACCAGTAGAAACTACAAATGTTCCAAATGCATTTCAGATGCTAGAAAAATATGGAGCCTATAGCTTTTTCCTCAATTCTAATTATAGTGATGCACAATTCAAAATTTTCAAAACTATGAAAAAACATGCGAGAAAAATGAGATAGTTTAACAAGAAAAGAAGAATTTGAACATTGAACAAAAGTAAATGTCAAAATGTGAGAATAAAAAAAAAGATAGTATTTTAATTAGTAAATTGTAAAAGCGAGAAAAGTCTATTCAACTTCATTCTGCAAGGCACTTGCGTATGGCCTGAAAACTAGTAAATCTTGTAACACAACCACTTACTATCTTACTCTAACATTCTTCACGCAGTTTTCCCTACCCTGAAAAAATTCCTAACAGAATAACATAAATAGTTTTAAAAGGAATAGTATTGGAGGACTACCAAAACAAATCCTTGGGGAGTAGCTGATTCTAACCTCTCCAGATAATTCCATTACAATGATGTGGACTTTATGCAGCTACATTTCAAACATGGCTTGTGATAGGAAACCCAGAAGAGTACTTCTGGTGACGAGTTTCATTCAACCAAAAGAGGGGCTCAAAGCTCTCACAAAAAGAAACGAACTTGCACATGGCCCAGAGCTAAGTCTACCCAAACTAACTAACCACAATTCTCTCGTGCCATGTTCTTCCCCTCATTCACTCCCTAAAAGCTGATAGAATTCCAGAATTCTTTCATTATACTGTGATACTTAATAAGTCATGAAGCTAGTTATTAGTTAGAACAAAACTACTAACCTGGGGAGCAATGAGCAAATGGTTTTCTTTAAAGCAATTATCACCCCGTAGCTTGTATCATACAAACACAATTCAGCATCAAAAACCTCATTCACTTGTTTCACCCTCGCAGAGTTCATCATCATCGCTCATTTCAACCTCTCCCTCCTCCTCCTCCTCCTCCTCCTCAGAGTCTTCACTCCTGAGTTCATCATCCCGAAGCAGCGAATCGTTCTCGTCACGTTTCAACGAGCCATCCCCGCGATAGAGAAGCCCCGTCTGCATCACATGGTAGAACTTATCCCTATGGCGAGCAAGAGGGTGCGGGTCCACCAGCTTCCCACTCCGGTACCCTTCCCTGAGAGTAACCGTCGTGGTTTTGCACTTCAACGAGAGGTAAAAAATCCCCGGGTACCTCGTGAAAATGCGGGTAAACCTATGCGGAAGATTCAACTCTTCCCTCAACCCCCTCAAGTAGTTCCTCTTGGTTTTCTTGTGCAGAGTGAGACTCAAAAGCTCGTGCAGAACCCCAACAACGCGCTTCTCCATTAAGTCACTATTGGGGTCAATCTTGGAGGAGTCGGAATAAGGAGAGAGATAGGGAAGCTTCTGGAACTCCTCCATCCACGCCCTAACCTTCTTCTGAGCACCGTAGCCTCTCGGAAACTTCATCGGAAAAGCCAACGCCGATTGCCCCCGCTTGAATTCCCGGTAGTGGGTCCCACCCTCGTTGGTCCTCTGCAAAGCGGAAAGCGCGAGTTCCTCGGGCCAGCGCGTTAGTTTAAGCGAAACGACGCCGTTGGGGGAGTTCAGGAATTGGAAGGTGTCAGGGTATTGCGGAACTAGGGTTTTGTGGAAGGTGTCGGGTAGGCCAAGGTCCCACTTGAGCGCGTGGAGAGAGTGGAGGGAGAGGGCGCGTGAGCGGGCCATCATGAGGAGCTTGGAGAGGTTGCTGACGGCGTCGTTTTGGTGCGTTTGGTGGAGAGCGAGTTCCTGCGAGTGGAGGAATTGCGCGGTGTCGGTGAGGCGGAAGCAGGGGAGGGAGGGCCAGCGGGGGTGGGGGAACTCGTGGAAGAGGGTGGGGTAGCGGCGGAGGAAGCGGAGGACGGGGACGGTGAGGCCGAGGAGCTTCTGCCAGTCGGCGACGGAGTTGGCGGTGAGGAAGGCGGTGGAGGAGCGGACGATGGCGTCCTTGAGGAGGCACGCGGCCTTGAGGTCGGTTTCCTTGTCGATCACGTGATCGAGGGTTCGGTTCTTTACCCACTTCAGACGCACTTTCACTATGCCTCGCCATTGCTGTTTCATCCACGGAATCTTGTTCATCTTAGAACTCACAAACAGAATACTGATACCCCTCCCCTCCTTCCTCTTCAGTCTTCACCCTCGCCAGGGACATCATGGGCCTAGAATCTAGATTCTCTGGCTTCATTAAATAATCGGCCCAACTAAACTGCCATCATTATAATTTCATCCATGATATATATATATATATATATATATATATATATATTTATTTATTTATTTATGTGTGTGTGTGTGGTGTTGGGGGGTAAAATAACCATTAAAAATAAACTCCATGAAAGATATGATGAAATAAAGCAATCCTTGATTGTTCATACGGTAAAATGTTGTTATACAGAGTTTTTTTTATATTGTTAATTGATACTTACATTTTTTTCATTAACATGTTAGTTTAGTCAAGTGGATGACTATAATAGACATGGTATATGTTATTGTGTTAAAGGATATTGTGGTACTTATTTTTCTCTCTATTAAATAAAGTGTGACATTTTTTTCACTTAGAAGTTCGCCAAAAGATAATTGTAGTATGTATTCACTGTGTGTATGACAATGATATATTTTATTATAATTTCATTTTGTTAATGCATAGTCAATGTATCGTATATAACATTGTTAAATAATTTTAATGCATAGTGAAGGATCGTTCCTTGATCGCTTTGTTATGGTTTATTATACATTGTCAGCCTCCACCAAAGAGTTGGACCACCCATTACATTAGCTAGATGAAATTATTTTCACAATTAATAGAAATGACATTACACTGTCTAAACCTAGGAGAAAAAGAATGATATTGTTTTCACAATTAATAGATAAATCGGTCACCCGACCACATCAACATATAGAAACAGAAAAGAAAAAGTCAATTAACTAAACTCAGATAAACAGTGGAAGTGGATCATCTTATGGTCGGTCACGCACACCAACTTATGGGCTACTAAATGAGACAATTACACGATTTAAATGTAATCTCACCATGTATACAAGAAGATCCGTTTATTGACCCAAGTTTTTTCATTGCTGCTTAATAACTTGAAATAATTTTTAAATCCTCCGTTTAATTTTCCCTCTATTTTTTTTATTATATTCTGATGGTTATTAATTATGAAACCCTTCGCGGCCTTTTCATATCAGACATGATTACGAGAGATTAATCTAATTGGCAATGCTAGATGTTGTTCAGTCACGGTTAATATACCAGGTGTGCTTTCTGAATGTGTAGATTTGATGAAACTTTAACCCCATGTCAGTGAAAATCATTTAATTGCGTTACTTTTGGGGTCAAATTATTAATAAACTCGGTATAAGATGTTATTTGACGACTCGTGTATATTATATTATAGTAATTGCTATTTGTAAGGCACAGATAAGAAGCACAAAAGCACGTGGAAGAGAAAAAAGAAGAAGAAATTATAAGGGAGGATCTTTGCAATAGTATGTGCAGAAGCAAGTAGAGTCCTTGCATTCTCCAATGCCATATGGTTCTTTAGAGCACTCTTGAAAACATTTCTGCAACTCACAATTGCTTAAATGGATCAGCTTGTGGCACCAATGTTCTGGGATCTTCACCCCATGAGCACGCCCTCGCACTACAAACTCAGAGGCTAATCCAGCTGCCCAATGAACTTTCACTATTAGAATAAGAACGGAAAAATAAATGGAAGAAAACGAAGAAATAATCCACATGCACTTTGAGACTAAGGAGGGAGGCATTGAGACATATGAACATAGAGATTATGTAGTGTTGATATAGTAAGAGAAAGAGAAAGGAAGTTGAAAAATAAAATACCAGAAAAAATAAGCAGTAGCAGGAGATGGGAGAGGGTGAAAGGTGTTTTCATGTTTCCTACATGCATCTGGTCGTCTTCACTTGTCTCAAGGTGTTGTTAGAAGGAGTGAGAAGTGGGGAAGGGGAGTAGATTGATATTTAAGGTGAGTGAGAGACGGGTATATACAAAGGATGGTCAAGTTTAGTTCAGTCAAAAACCAAAAAGCAAAACCAGGATCTTTAAAACCGACAGCTGTTACCAAGAATAGGAAAGGAGTGATGCAGAAGGTTGAAACACCATCTGCCCCATGCTTTGTTTGCCACGTCTGTATCCGTAACACAATTTTACTTGAAGAGTATTAACCAATCAAAGCATCTAATAACACTACTCTGCTTTCTGTAGGGCTTGTCACAAAGTGTTTTCCTCCAGCACTTATTCTTTCCTTTGTATTCACTCAATTACTTTTTATGAAATTCCAAAGTAAATTCATTCAAGAGTTTAATTTCTGTTGAAATATTTTTACATTATCAATCAATTAAAAATTATCATAATTATAACTCTTACGAAGATTATTAAAAAAAAAAAAACTCACTATCCTTCATTCATTATTTACTCTTCATCAAATTGTAAACCGTGCAATGCGGTAGGCTCACAAGTTTCATCCGACCGAAGGGTTTTGGTGATGCGCAAAAAGCTCGATATCAGGAAGATTTTTTCCCACTAAAGGACAACATTAATTATTTTGAGTGAAAAAATAAATTTCATGTTGGTCACTATGTTTTTGAATATTTCCTCTACATTCAAGGTATTGTTACAAATGACATGATACAAGTCTTTTTCTTGTAAAAATAATAATGATAAAAAAAATTACGCTTTTTTATTTATTTATTTATCAAATTAGACTTCGTGCGACGGCAATGTACAAAACAAAACATGGCAAAACACATTCAGAAATCACAAATATAAACATTACTTGGGAGACTAATATGAGCGACAGTACAGCAATACGATCTACATTACCTTTAAACGTCTAATTTAACCTCTTACAACTCAGTGACTCGGTATTATCAGCAAAGGGCAATTTTTTTACACATAGAATGGCCCAATGGTAATAATAATGAAAAATTCAAGGCCCAAAGAATATTGTTTCTAATTACTTAAATATTGAGCACACAGACACATACATAACGATTTTCAAGGAGCGCCCAAAGAATGCTGTTTCTAATTTATTGACTTATTTGATCATACAGAAACTAATCGATTTTGAAGGAGTTAACTCGCGCCAACGGATTTCCTTTCTCGAATATAAACTTCAAATAATTAGCAGATAAAAAAAGCTTGTAGCTCACATCAACTGTAAACACTCAATTTACTACTAAAGTTTACTCAACTGAATATACTTTAAAAACAGTCTCTAAAATATGCAATTATAGAACTCCATAATCAAACAAATGACTAGAATAATCCATGTTCGTAAAAACTTAACACTATATAATTTAATATTTTCAAGGGGTGAAGGTATCCAAAATGTTTATTTTCCACTTAACCTTCAAATCCATACAAGGGATGAAGGCAGCGATCATATATTTTAAAGAGTGATTATCATGGCATCTCATAAAGAATGACATTAATTAATAATGAGGAAACGAAATCATCTACACTCAAGCGAGTGCCTACATTAATTTAATAGGCATAAAAATGTAATGAAAATAAAACTATGTAGAGCCAGCGCTGAGATAGTTATCCCCAAATGAATTGGTTAATACATGCGTCAATGCGTCAATTGTCCAGCCAGGTTCTTTCAAATGATTTAATCGATATGACATTGTACGCAAAACAACCCTATAAAAATGCCAAAGAACAAAACTTGCTCAAATTCGCTCTCTCATTAACCTCCTTAGATGTGCCAAATACCTTGTACCTTGGGAACCAAATGCGAAACATCTTAAACATATATATCAATAAACCAAGTATCGCTACCTTGGTCATAACCTACATCGAACCTCTCATTCAACATCCTTACACGCGCAACGCTAATTGACCTCGTGCTTACATGAAAAGCAGTATTCACATATCAAGCAAGCATAAGCAGGAATAATCCAGTAAAGCACTTTGAGGAAGAGCAAAATTGAAACATATCCTTGTATTTAGAGAATCAACCAAGACAAAACTTAGAGAGTCTGAATGTTTTCACGATAAATTATAAAGCTGTTCCAATAAAAAAAAAGGACTAAAATCCAAACAAAAATACTAAGCAAAAACCAACAAACAACAAGACCACTCTAGTAACCTCCCTTGAGGTCATTAACAACATCATAAGGAATGGGAGTAACAGTCTCCAAGGTAGCACCTTCAACCATGAACCCGGGTTTAGGACCCTCGGGCTGCCTCTTGGTGCTGATCTTCTCACCCTTGGCCTTAGCCTCAGCCTTGAGTTGGTCATTCTTAATCTTCCTCAACCTGAACTCCTCAGTGCACCGTGAAGGCATCACATGCTCAACACGCACGTGAATCCTCTTCCTGATAATCCTATTCCCAACCTGAACACCACACACAGTATTTCAATTAGACCGATCCTCCAACCAGAGTTAAAACCCTAGAAACTAAAATTAATGGCTCAGCCTAAAACCTAATCCCGAAAATGCTACCAGAACAACCACGCGTGTTGGCTAACACCGAAAACACATCTGAACCTTGAAATTGACATCAATATAGACAAATAAATGTAACAACAAAACGAACAGCAATCAAGCGCATACATATAATTGTTAATGAAAATGATAATAACCTAATTGAACAGGACGAGAATAGTGTTGTGTTAGGTGTTAGGGTAATGATATACCTGCTTGTTGACCTCGACGCCAATGGCGCGCTTGGTGACGTTCCAGACGCGACCGGTGCGGCCATGGTAGAACTTATGAGGCATGCCCTTGTGGACGGCGCCGTTAACCTTGATGTCAACGTAGTCGCCGATGTGGTAGGTTCGGAGGTAGGTGGTGAGGGCGATGGTACCCTTCTTCCTGAAGGGACGAGAGAAGGAGTCTCTCGTGCGAGATCTCAAACCGTGACCAGCCGGCATTTTCTAAAACCTAGGGTTTCACTCTCTCACTCTGCGCTCGCCTTTCGGTGGAAGGAAGGAGCTAACACCTTTCAAAGACTTATTCGCAATCATTTTATAGTTGGGATCCCTAGGGTTTTGCTTATTCTAACGGGCTTTTCGTTAATGGGCCTCGAGTAGCCCATCTCACACCTGTGTTTTATTTTATTTTTCTGTCACTTCTCTTCATTTCTTAAAATTATTTTGGTTTTTTTTTTTTAATGCGGAGTTTGGATTTTGAATAGATAATTAATTATTTGTTATGTTCAAAGTCTGAGTTGATATTGATTTTTATTTTTTAAATATACTTCAATTTTAATCTCTCTTTTTTATTTTACACACTTAATTTACGACCAAGTAATAAATTATTAAAAAGTCCAAAAAAAAGCTACTTGTTCACCCCGCCCTCAAAAATTTATAATCTATAACATTTTAAATATTGTGAACACTTAATTTTATCCAATTAATTGAAAATTAAAAAAATGGAAAATGAGTGATGGTAAAATATATATATATATATATATTAAAAATTTAACGGTTGCACCTTTTTTTTTTAAAACATATTCTTTCGAGTTATTTTTGCATATTCATTCTCTCATTTGAAGTCATCACCTGTTGGACATCAGCAGCAGGTATCAATAACAAAGTAATAAAAACAATGAGGGTGGTGCACCGGTGGTTTTTCCGATGATCATAGACAGGGTGGGGTGAATAGTAATTATCAGATATTTATGAAAATTTTATTTAATTATGAATATTTATAGGTGTCTGTATATATTTAAGAAAATGTAAAGTTTTAAATAAAAAGATAAGAAATAAAATAAAAATTAAATTAAATTATTTTAAAATGCAAATTTATATTAAAAATAATTTTGTAACATATATGTATACTAAAATACATAATTATGACACATATTTAATATAAAAATAAATTTAATTAAAATATATTATTATAATTAAAAATATTTTTAATATTTTTAAAAACATAGATAAGTATTTTTCTATTTGTCCTCGCTCTAGTATTAAACAAATATAAGTTTAATTATCCATTTAAAATTCCGATGAACTTTATCTGAATATAAGTTTTTTTTTTGTCACCTCTAGATGTAGAAGTGACTAACATGACAATGATTTAATTATTCAATAATTAACATTTTATTTTTAAGATAAATTAGATTTAAAATATATATAAATATTTATTATTAGATACAATTTAAAATTTTCTAAATTATAAGAATTTTGGTATATACAACTATAATATAATATCATGTAATTTAATAGTTGAATTGTTTAAATTTATTTTCTAAAAAAATTTTAATTTGATCATTTTAAAATATCTTGTGAAATTATGATTTTCATTTGCAGGGAATAAGTCCAAAACTTCCTATATTTTCAAAATAACGTAATTCCATTCCATTCTATGATTTATATTGCTCACGATGGGTTATTATGAGGAGTGAAAAAATAGTCCGATGATCTGGGGGAGGGGCATAAAAGCTGGAGTGACAAGGTAGAGTGTATTCAAATCACTCAACATAACATAATAATTACTAACACTTAAAAAAAAAGATGGGCAATTACGTCGGACAAACGTTGACAACCATGGTTATATTTAAAATCAGAAGATAATGTCACGCTAACTTCTCAGTTCAGATTGGCCGTCAAGAGGCATGGCACTGTACTAATTCCTTTACAGCAGTAAGGCCGTCAACCTTGATTAGAACAAGCTCCATAAACATTCAGCAAGTTGAATTATAAACAAGTAAAACTAATCTTACAAAGTCTAGTAATTAATATTTGTCAAAGAAATTGCCAACATATAATAGTAAACTACAACTGGGGAAGACTAGCTTGATGCCCCTGCACAATTAAAGACCAAGGGACAGAAGTTAGTGGGGAAAACAACCATTATGGGTGAGAAATGAGGGTAAAAATAACTAAATTATATATTTTTTTGGAACCAAACATTCACCATACATGAACAAGAGGCAACATTAACCACGAAAAAAATAATATCAAAGCAGCATAAGATAACAGCTACAATTAGTTGTCTCTTGTTTCAGAGGAGAAAATTATAGATGTAAAATCTCCAAATAAATTGCATCCTCGGTCAGAAAAGCTCAAGAAAACAAGATTGAATTACTAATAAAATTTCCAAGACAAGTTATTTAAAACATTAAACGAGAAAGAGAAGTCGGGGCATTAGGAAGCAAGTACACCACAAAATGACTAATTTGAAATTTAAAAATAGGCGAAAATATCAACTATCAAGCATGCACTTCAATGATATTGAATTATATCTCAATTACCTTGGCAGGAAAAGCAAATTTCATTTGAAAAGTCAGACATGAAAATTTGCTTTAAAATGCTCTGAACGTCTTCAACTCGGTATTTAGCAGCAAGACTGATATTCAAATCTTGATTTGCTAATGCAATATACCTGAGGTTCTAGAAGCAGATAAAGTATCTGTAGCTCTCACAGAATTCCCAGTCTTTGTCTGAACTTGGCTTTCCTCCCTAGAAACTCCCAGCGACCTTAACTTGGATGATGATCTGATTGAATGTATCAATGGAGCATCTTCATCGTCCTCCTCTAGTCTTCTCCCTTCATCATGTTCATACGCACTAATGGAATCCTCGTCTTCACTTGAACTCTGCTCATCAAAAAGCTTCTTTCCTGGTATGTTTTGCCTTTTACGAGGACGGCCCCTACGCCTAACAGAAACCCCTTCTTTCTCATCTGAAAATGATCATCTCAGCCAGTCATTATGTTGATTGTGTTTGGTATTAATCAATTTGGGCCCGAAAAAGTTAATTAAAAGATTCTTAAGAGAATTTTAAAAGGTTGATTATTTCATTAAAAAAACCTTTACCAAACATAGTAATCCGTCCTTGTCATCTTAGTTACATCATGTAACACGCAAAGAAAAGAAAAGGTCTTTGATATAATTTAAATTTAAATATAACTAAAATTGAGAATAATATAAATTGTAGCAGAAGAAGGTGCGTGCTAATGTAAACTTTTAGTTCACATGAACCATAGTGCTCAAGAAAGCAGTCAAAACTAAAGTACTATTCTATCTTGATAATCTAAAGGATATATACAATAACAGACATAAGCAATTGTCAAGTCATTGAAACTGAGACACTACTACAGAACTAGAGAAACTTTAGTTAACAAGAAATGAACAGGAAAAACCTAGGGATTTACAATTGCAAATGCAAACAGCTTTGATAAACAGCAAATTTAACAGCAGACAAAACCTACTAGAGCAACGCAACATAAATTAATAGGCCAAATAATATTTGAAGTTATTAATAAACTAATATACCCACTACCTGCACATGATATTCAATTTCACTGCCAGTATGCTATGACAATGGCAAAGCCACCATTAAACATCCAATAGAACCTAAACTTTAATTTATCCTCACTATTGCCAACCAAATTTACTTATCTATAACCCTGCCTATTTACATTAATACATACATTAACAGCTATCTTATTTGCCACAGAAATCAAATTATGCACTGTTCATACACCATTGAGCGTCCCCTAATGAATAAATCAGACTTTCTCGATTCTTTTACCATTTTTCAGTTAAGAGCACCTTTAACACAGGGTGCAAACCAGCCCATGATTATTGATCAAAGAAACGAAATACGTTCTCACTTACACCAAATTAAAATGCCACTTGGTAAGTATTTACTTTAATATGTCCAAGCTAAGTTCACGGTCATGCCATCCACCAAATTTGGGATTCTAGTATACCACTATGACTATACGTAATAATACAAGTTGTATTTTGACACAATCCATGCGAGGGGATATATCCCGCATGAACCAAATGTCCAGCAAATGATAAGGCAGCAGACATACAACATAACTTCCCAGTGCATTTGTAAAAAGAGAAGCGTAAGAACACAAGAATATCAACCAAGAGAAAAACAGTAGATGATCAAGTCAGCAAAGCCAAGCCTAGCACGTTGGATCCAAAATGAACTTTTCCAAAATGCATAAAACAAATACTAACCATTTTATATATTATGTTTCAGTTAGATCTAATCAGTTGTTGCTTTATGATAAAAAGCATTTGGCTATATGATACAAAACTAAGAATGGAAAATACATGCATAAATTACCTTGAAATCCCTCATTCTTTGCAAATTTTTCTTCTAAGTTGTTAATAAATGTGTAGTAGGGTCGCCAGCCACTAGGATTTTCCTCTGTATTGACATTTCCTTTTCGCTGTTGAACATCCTTCATACTATTCATAAAGAAGATGCATTAAAATGTTTATTGCTGCAAATGGTTCCAAATAACACCAACAAAATGAGAAACAAACTCTTACATTTCTGATATATCTGCCGCAGGGAGCTTTAACACAAAAGGAAGTACTGCTGCTTCCAGAAATGACAATTGTTTTGGAGCATCTAGAAAAGCATATTCAATACCATCTCTGACAATTTTTAAAATGTCAGGCCTGTGTTTGACCCGAGCAGCACCAATAAATGTTCCAGAAAGCTTAGCAGCCAGATCGCCCAGATCTTTACATCTTTTCTCTGAAGAAACATCCTCATTTCGAGAGATTTTGACAGGATGCCTGTGGTATGCCTGCCAAAATAAACTGGTGAAGAATAGAACTATAGAAGAGGGGACAGGACAGTGAAATACAAATATGGTAATCTTCCTGAGGCAGAAGATAGTGGAAACAAAGACCCTCATTTCCTACCAATACAAACAAAAATGCTTTATCCATAAAGCACTGCCAAGAAAGAAGCACAGTAGCACTGCGTATTCTAGGCAAGAAGTGGACCCTGTATTGAACTTTGTCAACATTGACCCAAGCTAAAAGTGCAAAATTTAAGGGTTTGGAATTTGAACCACTCTGAAATATAATATTCTTTTTCTTTCTCCACTCCAGTACCCTTGCTTTTTATTAAGAAGTTGACCCCTTAGCAATTAGATGACAATATTTAGTTTCATGGATCAATTTAAATATAAAATATAGCAAATTGCTTTTGCATTTATATTTAAATCAAACAGGACACATGACTAAAAATTGACTGTTTATTGTTGCTAAAGGTACTGGTATCCTCATAAAGACAAAAGAAAACCCAACTTCATCTACCACACATATATAAGCCAGCATTGAGGAACATCAATTATAAAACTACTTCAAAGGACTTACACTTTTAAGTGCTTCCAGAAAAATGTGAGCCAAATCATTTTTTTTCTTCAGAACTGTGATCAGATGCTTTACAATCTCAGCCACACTTGTCCCATGCATCACATAATGAGAAATAATCTCAGAAGCAAGATACTCCTGCATCAGGAATATCCAAAGTTTAACATGATAAATTTCAGAAGCAACTAAAATAATTTTTCCTAGAGATAATGCCAATAATCATAACTTTTCAGAAACAAAATAATAGACCACCTTCGGAACTATATCATTCACGATCAGCTTTGCAGCAGCAATCATCACAGCATCTCTATTTGTCTCCACAGCATACTCTTCATTAGCATCTTCTTCTTCTGCCTCATCTGAAAATTCATAGACAAGCAAAACAGACTTCTATCACTAAAAACAAGGGTACACACTACACAATATATATATATGAAGGATAAAGGATACATCAATGAGAATATCTAATCGTATTAACACCAACTTTGACAAGCAATATAAACTTCAAACACCATGTTCAACTTAAAGACAATAGACAACAAAAATTGACATTGTGTAATTTGTTTCAGTTTAATCATGAAACATAAGATGAATTTCAGTACTAGCTCATCATCTTTAGCACATCTGTCAGTGGTCACCTGAAATATTAAGCTGTTGTTGACAAAGTTCCCAGTACTTCTGAAGCATATTTGCGTCTGGCCTATATCCTAATCTTTCTAGCTTTGTCTTGCTGAAATTTGTTGTCCTAAATAAAAACCACGTTTCTGCAAGTATAATGCATACCTTCAAGCAATAAAATATTCATCAGACCAAATCTGGAGAATTGAGACATGACATATACTAGAGAAAGAAAAAGGTAAACAATTCAGAGCTCTCTTACTCTGCATGCAAGTTCACTTCCATGTTTAGTCCCTTCCTTATTGTTAGCAGCCAAGTTGAGAAAGTATTCAAGTTCTTGTAACAAAGTATCACGCTTGGACAAAAGAGAAGTTAAGGATTCTCCAGAAATAGCTTCTTCATTTACTATAGTCTGTAGACCCCAAGCTAGATGCAAATACATGTTAAGAAGCAGGAAACCAACAACCTGAATGGGAATAAGCAAAAAATTAATAATGAAACACTGGAAACAATGTCATGGAAAACATAATGTTGTTGTGAGCAACCACTTACACACCTCATCCTCCATATTCCTAAAATCCCGTAGCACCATGACAATGTCTTCATATAGGCTACTGATAGGCACACATCTTTTCAGTTGGAGTTCATACAACCTCTTCAAGTTTACAAGAAGAGAATATTCATCACCACCATCCTGCATTGTCATCTCACTATATGTTAAGTTTCTCTTATGAGAACCAAAAGTAACAGTAAATATGACATTTAAGTTGCATAGACCATACCACTACTTCTTTAATTGCAGATTTCAGCTTAACAATAATTTCATCCTCAAGTTCCTTTAATTTATTCCGAGCAAAATCTTGCAATTCCCCTTGACTTTCTAAGCAACAAAAATCAATTGCCTTCACACAAGCCCTCAGAGGGTCCTTGTCACCATGCTTAAAAAATGCTTCTTTTATGAGCTGCAGTAAATTTTTGAAATTCTGAAAAGCAAACACTAATCAGTTTTCCAGAAACAACATTAACAGTCTTAAACAACCTAGAAGAAAAATTTACCAACCTGCTCCTGCCTTTTCAAGGAATAATATTCAAGGTTCATATACAAAACAATCTCAACCAGTGATGACACTTTTGCTTTATCTGAAATGAACTTACGCAAGAGTAATGGGTAACTGTTCATCATGGCAACAGTTATATCCTGTTTGTTATTTTCAAATATTTCCTGTCATCAAATGGAAGAAAAGAGATTTACAAACAATAAACAAACCTTCTATCACAACTAACATTTACAAATAGTACTCGTAGAATTGTTACTTATCAAGGATCCAGCAAACATAATGTTTGATACTCAAACAATTTAACTACAAATGCCCGAAGTAATCAGAAATATGTACTTCGAAAATACAGCTGACAAAAAAAAATCCAATAAATATATAAATGACAGCAAGAAGAAAATTATGTATGGTATATATGAAAGCATGGTTTTCTGAAACTTTTACTTTGTTCAAATAAACATTAAACATCATGTGCAACACACACATCAAACACCAGTAAAAATAAAAAACTAAATCATTGGGTGCTGGATTTAAAAAAATCAGACATTAGATACTTGGATTCAAAAACTTGAAAAGTCAAGATGACACAAACTTTCTGGGCCTTGTTGTAGTATTGCTTTCTGTTGTCCGTAGCAGGGACAATCCTCTCTCCCACGGCCTTTCTCACAGATGCACACAGGAGCCGCACCAAGTTTGTTGCATCACTGTCAGAGAGCTCAACTGATGAATTTTCATCAAGGAGCATGGATATAATGCACTTCCAATCCTGCAAAAATAAAAAAATATTGATTACCATCAAGAAACCACTAAATATTAATCTGTACATGTTGAAAATATGACTGAAACAATTTTAGGTGCTGATCATTGGCATAATATCTTATTAATATATATATATATATATATATATATATATATATATATATATGATAATTCTTTGGTGTTCACTCAACAAAATAATATATAAAAAATTAAAGAAAAATGAAATGAAGTGAATTATAAGGCGATAGAATATTGCTTATAATTAAATATATAATTATGTATTAATATTTTTAAATTTTAAAACTCCCCAATTTTAGGAATACTTGGGGTGGAGAGCAGCCCAATTTTGGGGGCAAGCCCAACACTTCTCACCCAACAAACTAAAAAACCCAAGTCTCTTTCTTGTTTCTCCCAAAAGCCATCATCCTCTCTCATCCATAAAACAAAAAACCCTAGCCTTTTTCTCCCATCAGCAGACACCTCCTCGCCCAACCATTTTGTCTCACCAAAAGTTGCAAAACAGAGGTTGAAGAGAATGAGGAAGCAGAAAGGTGTTGCAAAAGTGAAAAACAGAAGCAAGAACACGGTGCAGATGATATAGGGCAAAAAACATGAAGAGATTAACAAGAAACACACTTCCACCCACAATTCACCAAGAAAAATACCACAAAGGCCACAGTGGCCAGGCACAATGTGACGGCCATTGGAGGGGCAGCAAGGTGCTGCTCAATTGTGATCACAGTGCTATTGTGAACAATTGAAAACTATGTGGTAAAGGCCATTCAATTGTTTGAGGGGTTTAAATTATGGTATTTTAGGTAGAGAACAGACGCTAAATTATTTGAAATCTGATATTAATTTGATTTGATTTGATGCAATGTGATACAAAATATATAACACAAATCCATACTTATTAGACTAATAATTCTAAACAGACAAGTAAACATTATGAAATATGGATACCACTCTAAATCATTCTATAAGGAAACAGATTATGCAATACGGATACCACTCTAAAAAATTCTATAATGCAATAATGATATTACTCAAACAAAAAGTTTACACCCAAGCAACAAACCTAACTGAAGTTTACTAATCAGAAATAATGGTGTATAGCTCCTTATAATAGGGAAAGTTCCTCTTTACTACACTGAAAAACAGAAAATAAAGATATAAACGCCCTCAGATATTTTTCCAACATCCCTGCCTTAGAGGGCCCAATAATACCTTCCTTCAATTTCTTGCCCCACTTCCCTTTCTCCCTCTCTTTGCTCTTAAACCTTTTCTCCGATGGGATTCTACCTTCCTCACTTCTCGATCCCCTGCTGTGATGTCTCTAATCTTAATATGTAGCCTATTTTTATCCTTCTATCCCCATCCATTGTATTCCTCTCTCCAATCAAAAGCACTTCCTAGGATTGGAATATTCAATCCACTAATATACATGAGTAACCAATCAAACAAAAGAGATGATGGTCATAAAGAAAAGGCATCACTATGTTCCTATCCTTCCTGAATCCTATTATTAACAAGGATTACATACACATACCTTTATAGCAGTCATGTACTCCCACACATCATCAATTACATAAATACTCAAAATTGGATCTTGTGGGAACTCCTCCAGAATTCGCAACATTCTCTTCAGATGGACCTCAGATGTATTACCAGGTTCATCTGGAAAAGAAATTGTCTTCATCACATGATTGTATTTGTCAAAATAATGGTATCCAATTTAAAGTGAAAATTCTCATGGATAGTCGACTTCAGACCTTTTGATCCTGATTGGAAGCTATTAAATTTTTGAGCAATCAAGTGATCATACACTAGTCCTCCAATGGCATGCCTAATTTCTGGGGGGTCATCAATCAACAAATCATACAAAGGACCCAAGTCATCTTCAGGAATAAGTTGATGTCTGTAGTGAAGCAATAAATCAATTTTCTATTTACATTCTGTTGCATAAAAACTTACCAGTAAACAGGATATAAATCAATGAAAAAGGTTTGAAATTCAGACCTTAGTAGTTGCTTAACAAGACCTATGGCATGAACAGCCACAGAAACATCAATGTCATCAGCAAGTTCAATCATCCGGACAGAAAATCTTTCGGTAAATAAACCAAGTGTTGGTACATTATCGTCCACCTCATAAAGATTTTGCAGAGCATTTATAGAAGCCTTTCTTACACCAGCATTCTACAAATTGGAGGGTGTGGGTAAAAGTTAAAGAAAGGCAGTAAGTCATATAGTACATGAACAATTAAAAGTTGCATCATTAGAACTTTAAAACCTATTCATTACTTTGTCGTTCAATGTCCATCCAAGATATTTCAAGTACAAATCCTGCAGGAAAAGTGATGGGTATGACAGGATCCAGGCACCCAATGATTCAATACATGACATTCTAATATTTGGGTCAATGTCTCTGTAGCGATGCACAAATAACCTTCAAAAAAACATTAAATAGGCAGGTTAGATATACAGTCACATCAAATACAATACTCAAAACGTTGCTTTCTTTTCCTTTTAAAAAAATAGTTTCTTAGTTTAGCAAACTCCTCCTACCCAGTAAATATCTTGCGCATCATCTCCTCCAACAATGTTATTCTTTCATGAGTTTCAGAAAACCTTTTATTTAGTGACTCCACCCGAGGCCCCTCGGTTCTTTTCTTTTTCTCAGCATCCAACTGTCTACGAGTAGTCTCTCTTTGAGCACCGAGCATATTAGCAACAGTTATGTATGATGTGACCAGCCTAAGACCCATCAAGGATGCAACTTGACGGTAAACTCTTGGAGGGGTGCTACATGAGTACAGCACCACATAAGTCATTGCATATATAAATTATCCTAAAATCTGAAGTTTTAGGTAGTCATACTAACCATGAGAGTGCAATGATATAGTCCATGCACTTGTCAAATAAAACTTGATCAAACAATGGGCCATGCTGACATTGGCGAACCAAATTATCCCAGAATGCTTCTAGATTCTCTTTGAAGTTTTTAATCTCTTTCTTTTTGGAATTTTGATAGTCTTCAACTTCACCCTAAAATATCAAAGGTAGAAAACGCAAGGATAAATGTTCACATCTAACTCATAATTTGATCATTAAATCACAAGACAGGAGGCCAAAGACTTAGTAACGGCATATTATCAGCATTATCACTGATAAGAAATTAGAATTTTAAAAAAAAATGATAAACACTAACAGGAAACAAAAGAGAGAGAGAGAGACAAAGAGAGAGAACAAGTTGTATACCCTTTTAGCACAATTGACAAGAGCAACTACAACATCATCAACATCAGTCTCGTCCACAAGATCACTTTTATCACAATACTTGGCTCCACATGCCTACACAATTTAAAATTCCTTTTTTGTCACTACCCATCAGAGTTCATAAATAAATCAATATGTATTTTTTTTAGCATCGATGCACTTTTATCGCAATACTTGGCTCCACATGCCTACACCATTTAAAATTTCATATTTGTCACTATCCATCAGAATTCATGAATCAATCAATACCAGCAAGGGATTGGCTACTTGCCTCGTCCCGCCCTTCCTTCCCGCACCTGTTCCACATGCTATTTTTTTGGCATTGATGAAATAACAGTGTTTCCAAGTTTTTACCAAATCTACTTTTCGCCCTTGATTAATAAATGAAACTAAATTGTCTATCGCTAGTGGTCCTTTAAACATTGTAGCTGCTTGAGAATTCTATATTACCTCAAACAGCATTGTCAAGAGATCAACCATTGCAGCTTTCGGATCCTCTTCGTAGCGTTCAATCCACAACTTGACCACATGAGGAATAGACTTGCCATTACCTTTGATTGCATCTACAGAAAATCATACAAGAAAATCTACAACCTCAATCAAAATCTACATACCTAAAAAGTAAATACACATACAAATCCACTACATTAAAAAACACGCATAATTTCGGGAATCACGGTATTAACGAAAATGGTAAAAAAATAAAATATAAAAACACAACGATGTAAGTTAAAAACCTGAACCCTAGAAATTTGAGCAGCAGGGAAAGTAGCAGAGTGTTAAGTTTACCAATCAAGGTTTGACCAGAGACGTTGTACGCGACGCTTGAGGTTCCTTCGGAAGCACGACTTCGCTTGGATTTCGGGCGCGCTTCGGCGGAATCGTCGGGCGAACTCTCTCGGTCGGCTTGCTCAGTGATCCTGTCGCGGTTCTCGGCGTCGGCATCGGGTTCCTTGGCGACGTGCTTAGGAGGTCTGCCCCTCTTCTGCATAATTGAAAGAAGCGAAACAAAAAATTAGGCCGAATCAAAGGAAGATTAGTGGCAAGTGTGAGAAGTGAAACAAACACGAGGGCGATTGGAAGCTTCGGAGGGTGGAGCTGGATCTTCCATCTGCTAATAGCGTAGAGCTTCTGCAACACAACGATTTCAAGTTCACGGTGGAGTCGTGAGGATAGAGAAACAACAATTGGGGTTCTGTCACTCCAAATAAGAGTAAGAAATCTCCCGCCAAATAACAATTATTTACCACCACAAAACCACGCCATCTAAACATAATTTACACCACAAACTCCAAGGTCCAAACCATTAATACGTATTAGTTTATATATATATATATAGTACTCCCACACAT